GATTAATGCGAATGAAATGATTTGAAGGGTATTACATAATAGTTATTACATAATAGTAATGGTAAATAAGTATTTATATTCTTGATTTGTGAACTTGCTTTGCTGTTCAAAATTCCAATGATTAATAATTGTTCTTTATACTCACGGGCTAAAATAATACAAATAATTAATATTTATGGATTAATTAGTTAACGTGTAAATCAACACAGTATATTTTTTATACTTACTCCCTGATAATTAAATCGAATTATTAAAATTGTGTAAAATATTCTCAATTTTAAGTAATAAAAATAAAAATTTAGCTTACTTATCAATCCATTCCCAATATTTATTATTATTCTTTTCCACGCCAATTCCATACCAGTAGGAAATAGCAGTTTTATAGATTCCATTAAGATTATTCATTTCGGCAGACTTTTGGTAATGCTCGAATGCTTTGTACTTATCAACATCAACTCCAATTCCTAAATTATAACAATATCCAACCTGATACATTCCGTTAGAATTATTCATGTCTGCCGATTTTTGATAATAAATTAATGCTTTGGTTTCATCTTTTTCAACACCGATTCCATATTCGTAACAATAACCAACTTGATACATCCCGCTAGAATTATTCATGCCTGCAGATTTTTTGAAATGAACGAACGCTTTATATTCATCCTTTTCAACTTCAACTCCGTGAAGATAAGAATATCCTAATTGATATGCTTCATCAACACATGGACTTTGTAGTTATAATCTAGCAATTTAACAATTGTAACTGTTTAGAAAAATTACTTAAAAACATATTTAAGTAATTTAAGAATGTATAAAATAAATTTACACTCACGGTCTGGTTAATTAACAGGCATATAGTTGATTAGAAGGTAATTCGACAAAAAAAACATAATTTTAATGGATTTTAAATAAAACATTATATGCATACCGAAATTTAATTAAACAAAATCTGTTTATGTCACATAAATATAATTAAAATTTTAAATTTATGCTTACTCCCTATTAATTCAGCGAGTATATAATTAATTAGAGAATATGAATACGCATAAAACAGAATAACTTTATATTTACTTTTCACGGATTTTTACTAAATGTTTTAATGCCAATTCATCATTTTTCTCAATTTTCAGTAATTTGTTCACATCATTGAATGATTCTTTATATTTTTCCATTATATAATAGGCTTCTGCTCGATATCTTAGTGCAAATTTACTGTTTGTTTAATATCAAGCAATTTTGTTAGATCAATAATTGCATCTTCATGACTTCCCATAATGTAGTTAAATTTTCCTTGAAATTTAAGAGCAGTAACTTGTTTGATTTTCAGTAAATTTTCTAAATCTTCAAGTGTATACATATTTGTCGTATTAATGCACATATTAATTGCATCGATCCACTTTTTCTTCAATAATTCATCATTTATATCATCATTAGTAGTCTCTATTTACAAAGAATTACATTATTAAATTGCAAAAATACACCTATAACTATTCAACATTACCTGCATATTTAAATTTTCCACTACCAAAATTTACTTTTATAGATCCACCTTGTGACCTTAATCCAACACAAGGATACAAGGTGTCTTTTAAATTTCGGAATGCAATACCTTGAAATTTATGTTGTAAAATTTTAAACTACTGTGATATGCATAATATAATATAAAGCTTTGCAATAATTACCAAGATTTGTACCATTCTTAGTATAGAGTACAGTGTTATTTTTAAAATTTAAACAATATCCAATGGTATCACCAGTAGAAAATAATAGTCCATAAGAATGGCCACTTCCGGAACAAAATAAATTGCCATCATCTCCATGATAACCCCAGGAACCATTGTCCCATCATATAAAAAACACTATGTGTGAATATATTCAATATGTAAAAATAGAATTTTAATTACCAGGCATTCCGTTTAAATCAACTGTCTTTTTGCAAAATCCAATTCCAATAATTCTTTTGAATAGAAGAAAATAAAAGACTATAAGCAAAATTTTAACAAATTTATGGATAATATATTTCAGCATACTTATTTTTTCCCTCATCTATTATGTCAACTTCAAAATAAAACAACTTGCATTGCGAGGGAATTGGATAATTTGCCCGTATTGCACCAGTTTCATTTATGCTTTCACCCAAACCTATGTATTTAAAATAAAGTGTTAAAAAAGTTTGCCAAGTTAACCTACATAATAGGTTTACTAATAATGGGTGAATGTTCATAATCATAAGTAAGGTCTTTTGATTTGTACTTATAATTAGGGCTAACTGGGAAATTTGAAAATTTTCAATTTGCAATTACTGATTCCCACTTTCATAATTCACTCTAAGTCCGCTCAAATCTACACTCAAAATGTAGATTTATCATCGAAATTCCAAGCAATTGGGAAATCCATGAATTGCATTAAATTTAGTATAAACTTAATGACTAGTTTTTATCTCTTAATATTCAAGAATTTTTATTATGAAATCTTATTTTTAAAATACAATTATCGACTTCAATAAGTTGTGTACTGGCGAATAAGTGGCGTGCATGCAGTGTTTATGTTCTGAGTCATTTCACAATTCAGGTCGATTCCGAATTGACCTAGGTCATTCTTGAATTTTGAAATGACCTAGATTATTTTTCAATCGGTGAATTTTTTAAAAATTTAAAATTATATGTCCAAGCGATAAATTATATAACCCAAGCAATAATGTTAATAATTAAATTTTATGCATAAATAAAAATTATAAAAAAACTTGCATTAAATAATTAAAAAATTATAAAATTTCTTTATAAAATTTAGCTATATTAAAAAAATACTTCAAATAAATAAAAAAAAATTTGTAATTAATAAAGATGCGCAATACCTATAAATAAAAAAAAATTCATATAATTAAAAGAAAAATGTAAATATAATAAAAAAAACATATAATTATAAAATTTTTCAGTAAAGTATATAAAAAATTCGCATAACATAAATTTAAAATATTTATCGATTTTTACATTCACCACGTAGAACACACCCACATCATCATGTACATAACAGCTTACTTCTTCAACAAGAACAAGCATTAGAAGAGCAGTTGGTTTTTTGGCAGCGACAACAATTTGGACGATTATTTTGAGATGCATTTTTTGATTGATTATTGCTAAATTAATTTAGTAGTATTAGCTCATATTACATAATTTTTATATAATAAATTATTTCACTTACTTAATTGAAATATCATTGTCATTATTATTTTGTATAAAAACTGATTTAATCATTCAATATTTTGTTTAAAGCTTACTTGTCTTAATGAAATAAATTTGTTTAAAGGAACTACATTAAGAAAAGGATAATCAAGAGTTCCAAATGGTTCAATTTCACTCTTCGGATACCAATTTTCAAGGATTCCATACTGACAAGCAACTTGATATGAATCAATATTAGTCTTTTTTTGAAGTATTTTGCATGGTAAGGATTGTCAGCTCATTTTATTTTTGTCAATATCAAGTATACAAATTTTTACAAATTCACCAATCTCAAATGTTCGATTATGTTTAATTTTATATTTGTCTTCCATTCTACTTCGTATAAGCTCATGATTTCTCTTTATATTTAAAATTGCTGATTGTCAAACTGTTTCATATTGTTCAAAAGATAAACAAGTCAAATTTGTACTAGGTGATGACTAAAAAAATTTTAATATTAATACTTTATTTATTTAAAATTTTTTTTTTAATTATTATTTTTTCATTTAAGTTAAATAATTTAACATATTAACTTTAATTTCTTCAAATTACACCCGCCACTTTTCTTTTTCTTGAAAGGTATAACATTGGCTTTTACTTGAATCATCGTCTGAATCAACAATTTCAATAATTTCTGGACCTAGTATATTTTTTGAACACTCTTCAATTTCAGAATCATATAATAATAAAGCTAAATTATTATAAATCTCTTGTGTTATATTATTACTAATATTGTATGCTTCTTCTATATTACTATTTATTTCTTATATTTTGTCTGTAGCATTAAATTCTTGCATTTCATCTATACTTACATCTACATCTACGTTGCTATAGATTTCTTGTATTTCATCTACATTAACATTTACATTGATGTCACTATAGATTTCTTGAACTTGTTCTATATCACTATCAACCTCTTGCGATTCTTCAAAGTATTTTTCACTAAGCTCAGATTCTATGGTTTTACTACAGATACTACTAATTTTAGAAGCAATAGTTGATTGAGAACTTTCAGATATTAGCACATTATTATTCACAAACTCCTGACCTTCTAATATGTCAATTAAATTGGTATCGCAGTGGGGAAGCTGTCTGAATACTAACTTATAAGAAATTGATTTATGCGCAAAACAATACTGAGCATTCATAGCCTCTAATATCAAAATTTAATTAAATTAATAATAATAAAAATTAGTATAATATTAAATAAGTAAAAATAAATAAAAATTAAAATAAATAAATTAAATAAATTAAATAAATAAATATAAATAAATAATTAAACAAAAATTAATAAAAAAAATCAATTAAATAAAATATTTGTTATTGATATATGATAAATTTGATGCATTTTATTAATTTGACTAATTAAATAATATGAATGCAAATTTAATGCAAAAATTTTAATAAAAAAATAAATTAATAAAAAAAATAAAATAAACTGAAATAAAATAAATAGATAAAAAAAAAAACACATACAAATAATGAATTTCAATCCAATACTCCAGTTATTTTGGTCTGTTTCCTCAATTCAGGTTCCTAATTTAGATTGAAGAATACCATTTCCCTTTTCTACCATTCCCTGACAATGTGGATTTCTTGGTCTATCATGGATCAATTTGATAGTAGGCCAGATACTTAATGTTTCTTTAATAATTCTTGCAATAAACTCTCTACCATTATCTGAATGTAGTACTATAGAAGGACCATATATCATGCAGAAATTAAATAAACAAGCTGCTGCTTCTTTAGCCTCCTTAGATTGTAAAGGTTCCATATAAGAAAATCTTGAAAAGTGATCCCTGATATGAAAGATATATTTATACGTTCTATCAGATGTTGATGTCATATCGATAGTATCTAACTACAAATAAACTTTTTTTAATATAAATAAATAAATAAAATAAATGAAATTAAAATTATTTTACCTGAACGTAATGTAAAAATTCCTCTGAGATTATTGGCTTAATGGGTGGAATTTTAATAAAGACTCATCTAGTAATGCAAACATTGTATTCATGAACAGCATCTTCAACTACCTTTTGTGGAATAAAACAATACCACATACAAATCTTTTTTAAAAATTTTATTATCATTAAAAAATAAATAAAAATAAAATAAAAAATAAATAAGTAGTAAATAAAAAAAATAAATAAATAAACCTTTTGCCATGTTTTGTCTCAACTTGCATACTCTGTTGCTTAGTGCGCAGCACAGATTATCTTATAAAAGTTTTCAACAGAACAAACTTGTGTCCCCAAGCCATTTTTAATTGGTTTAATCATATGAAGTTCTTCAGTTGTACCAACATAAAAAATTTTAAAATTATGAGTTACCCAATATTTAAAATTTGGGTTTTGTAAGTCATTTGGATTTTTAAGTACAGCTAAACATTGATTATATTTATTTTGATCCATTAAACAGTGATTGTTTTTCCTTTGACTAATAAAAGTTTCTAATATTTGGTCAAAGGTTTCATGCATCATAAAGTTGTATCGTTCTATTTTGAAAATTTAATAAGAAAAAATAAAAAGTTGTATTTAAAATCAAACATTCGATAGCTTTATTTATTTTTTATTTTTTGCATAAATTAAGTAAATACATTTGTAGTATAATAAAATTTAATAATTCTGAGTTCTAATTCTTTATTAAATTTCAGGATCACTTTCCTTGGGTGTGGTCTATCATTGGTGTGACAAATAAACGCAAACTATTTTATTTATATAAGTCAATTAGGTAGTGCTTATTTGTTACCCAAGGATTGGTCACACCCTGGTCATAAATTCCATATTGCATTAAATTTGCTGTTGGGTGTGACCAATCATTCATGTGACAAATAAACACTAACTAATTTATTTATATAAATAAATTAGTTAGTGTTTATTTGTCACATGAATAATTAGTCACACCTGATTCATAAATTTTGAGTGCTGCATTAAAAATTGACCTGGGTTATTTCTGAATCAGTGAAAATTCAAGAATGACTAGGTCAATTCGGAATCGACCTGAATTATGAAATGACTCAGAACATTTATAGTAACTATCTCAATAACAGAAAAATTTTTTATAATACATGCTTTTATCAATCAATAAATATACATATATAAGCATAGTGATGCATATTTTTAACACCCTCTAATCTTTTTTTTACTGAAATAAGTAGCTGCACAATGTTGTCACACAAAACTAGGAATAGAAGAAATCTATGCAAGCACTAGAAATAGGCACACACAGAATTTTTAACATGATCCCAAAATAAGATTATCTGGTCTGCATTACCATAATATCTGACTAGCATAAATATAATATCTGACTTGCATTAACATATTTAGCTAATTCCTAATTAAAATTTATTTGTATACCATTTCACACATATGTTTATTTATATATATGATAAGAATTTAGCGTTTTTGCCATTGGTATCTTTCACTTACATTACAAAAATATTCTTTATAATTAAGTTACTCTTTTAAAAATAAATAACATGCGTAGTAATAATTATATTTGGAATCATATAATGAAAATTGGATCAGATGAAAGGATGTGCTTAATGTAACTACTGCTATTAAACCTTGCAAAAACTATGTGAATATTCATTATTTTGATTGGCCAATGGCAATGACCAAAAATTTAAGCAAAGTTACTAAAATTTTTATAAAGAAATCATGGCCACCCATTAAGTGAAATTAATGAATCCCATGTGGCATTTTGAAGAAACAGCATTTTGCCAATCTCATAGTATTATATATTCTGTGAAATTACATGTATTGTAAGTTTGTAAAATGTAATTTTCAATGCTAAGTGAAATATTTTCTTGAGTTAATTTTACCATTACACAGACCCAAATCTTAAACAATTAAAAAACTAAACTCCAGCCAAAATTATGTATAACTAGTTCAATAGGTGGTGCAAAGTGTCACCTATCTTATTTAATATTCTTTTAAATATTTTAGTATGTTGTAAATATATTGTTAAAATGAATTAAAAAAATAAGTAGCTGCGCAACATAGTTGTGCAAATCAGGAATGTAAAAAATTTATGTAGACACTATTTCAGTCATGAGAAACATATTCTTCATTGCAATCTATTCTTGGTATGAGAAAATCACTCTTTTTAAGAGAAGTTGATAGTACTTGTAATTTGAATATTGGTTTGAATTTCCTTGAATGATCCTAAAAATTTATTGAAGTCAATGTTTGACTGCTATATAGTTGGCTAGCTAGTGTCACTAAGTTCTAATAATTTGACATAAAATTTTTGGGACACTGCAAAAAACATTAAAATCTATAAAACATAATTTATCACCCACTATGTATTTAGAAATGATTGGCAAATTCTTTCGATTAAGTTTTTAATAAATTCAATAAAAATTATCAAGTATTTAGTATTGAGCCCTTTAAATGTATATTAGATGACTAATTTTTGTGCATAAAAAAATCATTTTTACTATTGTTTGTTATTGCATCTTTGATTTTATAGATAAATGCGCTTATTCATATAGCTTTTTTTAAAATATTGATGATGAATGAGTTATGCAGACCAATCAATTCTAAGATTTTGTGTACAGAGGTATTCCTTCTTGGTACTATGTTTTAAAGTATTATAGTTACAATAACAGATTACCCAATTATATGTTTTTTTTTTTTTTTTTTTTTTTTTGATTTTACCTCCCTCCACTATCCTGAAGGTCCTTAGACACCTTTAGGATCTG